CTTAATATTTCAATAAAAAAACATTGAGATTGATTGAAAAATGCACATTCTACAGGGGTGGTTCCATTTTAAATGGGTCACACTGTATATGCAACAAATATATTTCATTGAATATAATGTATATAATGTTCCTAATGATGTGTGAATAACAAATATGCAGTATCTATATGTAGGTAGGTTTTACATATGCCAACACTGGATGAAGAACACACAAGGTTTGATTACGAGAATGATTTGTTCGGGAATTGATATTAATTTGATTGGCGCCCGCTTATGTTTCAATCGTTCGATGAATAGTAATACGGGGAGTCGCACGGAGCCATTTTATGACTTGAGTTTTAAATTTGTATGTTTTTTGTTTCATATGGAAGAATGAGGTCATGAACTTTCAGTGCAGTATAACAATGATTTCTAGAAACTATTGACTTTTTAATGGATTTCTTTATTGTTACTTTGGTTTTGTTTCTTGTCTCATAGCTATGTTCTCCATATCGAATATCGTTTTTATTTTTGAATTGGTGAATCAGTAGAGTTTGACAGTAAATTTGTCTAATGGCTAACATGCCAAATTCCTGGTATAGTTATTCACTTGAGTATGTTTTTGGTTTATTAAATATAATTTTAAGTAACCATTTCTGTAAAACTTCGAGGTTCTTTAGGTGAGTTCTGTTGACACTTCCCCATCCTATTATACCGTAGCTAAGCTGTGATTGGATGTGTGAGTAATAAAGAATTTCAGTTGAGACAAAGTTAAAAATTGTTTTGAACTTCGGTAGCAGCATCCTTAGTTTGTTAATCAAGTATTTTATTTGCAGATCCCATCTGAAATGCCTATCTATTATAATGCCAAAGTACTTCATGCTAGCTGCTTCCTTGAGCGTGATTATTTCATTTCGGTTTCTGTTTATTGTTAGTAAGTCGAATTTTGGTAACTGATTTTTATAAGTTGTAAACGGGAGGTATTTGGTTTTATCGGCATTCACCGTGAGGATATTCCCATCAAACCAATTTTGTATTAGCTGAAAGTCTTTTTCGGAGGTTTCCTTCAATTTTTCCCAAGAGTTGGCGCTGTAGATAACTATAGTATCATCTGCAAAACTTATTATTTTACCGTTTTTAAATATATTGAGTAGATTATTTAGATGTAGGTTAAATAAAATTGGTTCCAGCACGGTGCCCTGGGGGCAGGGCCGTAGCGTTATAAAACACATCACAAATTACATATAGGTAGACATTCACATTTGAAACTGAAATTAAGTAAATTAAAATATATTATTGAATGAAAGTATCCAATTAGCTGGAATAAAATTCTTCAATATTATAAAACATTTTCGACAACAGAAAAGTTTTAAGATGGTTTCTTACTTTAAAGTCAGTAGTTTCAAATTATTTCAAGGTGTTTTTAGATGGTCGTTAAATCTGGTTGAATAACTGGGATCATTACTAAGAGTGCTAATGCTTTTTTAATTTTTAAATATGTAACAAGATATTTCTAGAATATACAGGCAAGAGAGGGGAATTATTTTTAGATTGGCAAATAATGGTCTGCATGATTCTCTTCGTCTTTTATTCAATAAATTTCTAAGGCATTTTTTCTGCAGTACAAATAATTTCTGAGCTGCTGATGATAAACCCCATAATATGATTCCATATGTAAGTCGTGACTGAATTTCAGCATAAAAAATGTTTTTAGTACAAGTTGAGAACATTTCATATGTATTTCAGTTGGTATATTTTGCTGATTAGTTTGGACATTTTTTCTCTGATATGGAATTCCCAATCTAATGTGTCATTCATAATTATTCCTAAAAATTTTAAGTTTTCACATTACTATAGTTTCACTTCTCCCATTTTAATTCCTATGTTTTCAATCCTCTTTTGTCTAGATGAAATATTGAAAAATTTGTTTTACCAGAATTGACATATAATTTGTTTGTTGAGAACCAGAGTATAATTCTTGTCATTAAATAATTACAATTTTGCTGGATGGCTTCTAAGGAGTCTTTTTCTACTAGGATCGATAGATCATCTGCGTAAAGTGTTAGTTTGTATTCATCTAAGAATTTAACTGTATCTGCTATATATAAAGATAACAATATAGGTGCAAGGACACTTCCCTGCGGTACCCCTACATTTATCGATATGAAATCTGAGCAGTATATGCTGTTTTGTCCATCATCCTTAATATAAGATATCTGTACATATCGAGATAAGACCGAAACCATTGATGTGTATTTCCTCTGATCCCATAAATCCAAAGCTTTTCTAACCATCGATTGTGTGGAATCAAACGCTTTGCTCAGATCGCAGTATATACCAATTGAACATCTTTTTTGCCCAATTTCTTTAATTTGTCTATATATGTTTGTGTTGTTGCTGTTGTGGTTGATTTGGATTTTCTGAATCCATGTTGTTCATCTGGTATCAGATTAAATCTCACAATGAAGGTCAACCTCTCTAACATGCAATACTCAAATAGTTTCGCAAACCTGATGCAAGAGACAATGGTCTATAGTTTTCTGGTAAATTTTTCGATTCTTTTTTATATAAGGGGATCACCTTCGCTACTTTAAAGGACTCTGGAAAAATTCCTGTTTATATTGAGGAGTTCATTGTATGACAAAATGGATCAACTAAGTCTTCTGCAAATTATTTAATTATATTGTTAGGCAGGTCATCAGGGCCAGAGGAATGCTTGTTTTTAAGTTTCGTAAAAATATATTTAATTTCTGATTCTGTATATGGGAGTACCACTATTGAATTCATGATATTTCTCTGAGTAGGGGCAACATTCCCTCCTACATCTGGTATATTATGTATTACTTTCTTTGGTGCATCAATGAAGAAATTATTAAAGGTATTTGCCACAGTTACAGGTGAAGTGATCTCTTCATTTTCATGTATCAGCTCAATGTTAGGTTTAGAATTGGATTTACTTTTCAGTTCATTTATGATAGACCAGGAAGTTTTACTTTTGTTTTCGGAGTTCTGAATTCTGAATTAAATTATGTTATCATAGAGTCAGAGTCACAGAACACAGAAGATATTTGATTGAACATAGAACTCATATAATTATACGCTATACAAGAGGTATGAGTTGTGTGTTGTGTGAATTCATGCCTCATGCTGATGCTAAGAATGCGAGGTTATTGTTTTCAGTTACCGGGCTATGCGAGCGACAAGCGCAGTGTTCTTCTTCACTTTCTCAATTTCAGATTTGTCATAAAAAAATAGAAATCACCAAAATATCACAGAAATATGAAAAATGATCACCACATTGACATGAAATCACCGAATCTGGTGATAAATCAACAGCATTTGCAACATAGAGAAGACATTACAGAACAAAAGAAAGTGAAGAAAAATGAAAATAATCACATGTTTAGAAACAGAACTACCATTCTCCGGATGAACGCTCAAAACATATTCGACTTGTGAACCATTTCTGTTCTGTTAATATATCATTCCAGCTTTGTTGGATTCAGTGTTACATGAAGGCTAGCGCGTGTGATTTCTTGAGTATGGGATCATTCGAATTAAAAATAATCGGTCATTCGATTATTACAATCACTCGAGATATCTCGAGATGTCATATGGAATCATTCGAATGATTCAGATCATTCGAATGTTGAATATATCGAAACAAATTAGTAGTGAGTGAAATTGTCGAAAACAGTATTAAAGGCTTGCGCCGCTACGCATCAGTGCAGTGCCGGCCTATATACCGATACTTCTTTGTAGGATGTGGTGAAATACAGGTTTGGGCTGAAAATGTTCAGAAATTTGTTGACGATAAACTTTGAATAATTACAAGTACAAACTTTATTGAAATTTAATGGTTGCTTGTGGCTTGTTAAAATATATTGAAAACAATCGAAAAATAAAAGTCCTCACAAAAATGAAAATAAATTATATGTGGGTTTAAATTGGTAGTTCAACTACACAATAAGTAAGAGTAGAAAAAATAATGGAATATATGAGTACCTAATAACAGAAATTTCGTTGCAACGGCTTCGAATCCTCCAAACTGAAAATTATTGCCACTGTTTCGAATTCAATACTCTCTGTTTGTATTCTCAGTGCTACAAATTCAAACAATCCTAATTCATAAAATAATCCAGTTCATTCCGAATTTCGCCATTAACACGGCACATGGCGTTTAACATGGTACATGACCCCATGAGCATCTAGATACGTGCTTATTGCTCACATCCCCGGATATCGAATTAAATCGGTGAGTGACGAGTAACGTAGTATCCGAGTGATTTCATTCGAATGATATTTCGATTTTTGGGATCACTCGAGTACTCATCAATCGATTCTCAGAATCATCCAATTATTCCCATCACTACTTGACTACTCTGTTCATTTGTTATTGATATGGAATGTCATGTTAATTGTCAACGCTGTTGCCAAAATTGAATATTGAAAATGACAATGAAAAATAAATACAATGAAAACAGCAAATGAAATTTAAAACTCAGAAAAAACATGTGCTGCGACTAGAATTTCGTGGTCGAATGGAACCAGAAGTACAACACGTTTCGTTAGATACTGCGGCATACGTCACCAGTGGCATGTTATATATCGAACTGTCGGTACGAACAATGACAAATATACAGAGTAGTTAACATAGAGAATATACAGATACATCAATTGAAATCGTCATTGGGTGTCAGGCTCGAAATGTTCTGTCTTGATATCTTTCAATAATACTGATTATTTACTTAGGTTGTTTCATGTATAACCTAACATCAATACTGTACACATGACTAACAACTTGCACCAACTACAACAATAGTTCTTCATACACGCTTTGTTCAATCTGAAACAAGTTATATAATTGAAATTTGAAAAGCAGTAATTTTTTTATATAATTTCGAAGTTGGCTATTCGTACGACACATAAACTGGTTTTAGGAGATTGGCACTACATTCATATAGTCGTCCGTCGTCTCCGTATTATTGGTAACATGTTTAAAACTTGAAAATGTGTTCTGTCATTTCATATTTGTGATAGTTGACGTTTGGTGTTTTGTGAGCGCGCCATTTTGGAGTTGAAGAGAAAGCGACGCTGAGTTTTACGTATCGAAGAAATACTTTTAAACAGTGTACAAATAGTGCTAAAAAATGGTTGACAAAATTGAAATGAGCCTTGACGACATCATAAAATCAAACAAAAATCCCCGAGGGCGTGGTGGACGAAGAGGTGGCCGAAGTCGTGGTAGTGGAGGAGGAGGTAATCAACGCCGAGGAAATTTTAGAAACTCCGGTCGATCTGGTTCGTCAGGAACTGCTTCAAGAGGTCGAGGACGCGGTGGAATTTCTCGAAGTTATACTCGGGTAAATAAATTTAAAACTTTATGTAATGAATTTGTTCTCTTTTGAGGCTCAGGCTAGATTGTCATGGATTCTGTCTAAAAAGTTCGCAACGAGTATAACGTGCTGACTACCACAACTTGTTTCTTTAGGGAGATGTAAACAGTGCATGGAAGCATGATCTTTTTGAGGGGTACGGACCCCGTAAAGTGGCTGTAGCTAGAGCAGCCGTACAAGCCACGATGGGACCAACGAAGCTTATGGTATCTAATTTAGACTTTGGGGTTTCTGACTCTGATATTCAGGAGCTTTTCGCTGAGTTTGGACCCCTTAAAAGTGCTGCTGTTCATTATGACAGATCGGGCAGATCATTGGGAACTGCTGATGTTATTTTTGAGAGAAGAAGTGATGCAATCAAAGCTATGAAACAGTACAACGGAGTGCCTCTGGATGGGCGAGCTATGAACATTCAACTAACTACGTCAGAAATACCCAGCCCCATGAGAAGACCTGTAGGTGAAAGGAAGTTTCAAAATAGAAGTCCAAGAGGGGGAAGATCTAGACCAAGTAGTAGAGGTTGGTATTACAATAGGCCTAAAAAGTTAGTTGTTAATTTCAGGGCAATATATCTGTGCTTCTTGGAGAGATATATTCTTAGATGACTAGCTTGTTGAAAGGCATACTTAATGGAGTAGCGGCTAAATATCAGTTTCTTATTTGTACAAGAATCTATGATTTAATATATCAGCAACTTACTGCCAGCGATAAAATCTCAAAATGTTCTTTTCATGACGACTTTCATTCATTCACCTTTCATATCTACACAAATAAATCGGTCATAGAAATCAGCAACTTACCAAAATGAATTTACCTTACATATTATAGGTTACCCCAAATTGATATGCATTTTTTGGAAGACTGAAGATGAAGCCTTTTTCTATTTCTTATCGATACTTCATGATCTGCCTTATCAACAGCTTATATGTACATATAATTTGGTTAGGGTTATTTTCAATTTGTTTCACAAATTATTCATATATTTAATGTACATTTCATTTGTCTCAGGTCGAGGGGGTGGGCGGAACGTGAGAAATCAGAGAAAGCCACCTACAGCTGAAGAACTAGATGCAGAACTGGAAGCCTACTCTAGTGCAATGAAGTAGGAGCACAAGTTTGTGTTGTTTGTTTTTTTTTCAGACAGTCATGTGTGAAACGCTGCTTGTGTGATTTATCAATTTTAAATGAAGGATACAACAAATGTTAGTTTTTCAAAAAGTATTCCAACTTGAGCCTTAATGAAGTGAGTTTAATTTTTTATTGAACAGCGTCTCCTCATTTATAACTTGTTACTTGTAAATTTTATGACTAGAATAATAAATGTAAGTTGAAATATCATGGCAATTTTATGTAACTTCTAGTACTAACAAGAACCTTTAAAGGGTAAACCAATTTAGATAGTTCTTCGGTTCAAATTGTTTGTTCATAAAATTTAATGAATAAGTGTTTCATTCTTCAGAAAACATAACCTTTAGGTAGATAAACTCTGTTGAAATTTCTTTTGAAAAAAATATATAAATGAGACATAACTTTGTAGTCAATGATTGTCTTCTGTTTGTTTGTTCATGAAATTTAGTAAATAAATAGTTTATTATAACAATGTATAACTTTGAGTTAGATGATACACTCTTAATACTTCATTTGTGAAAAATATGTCTCGACTAATTGAGTATTTAAGTTGCAAAGGTATAGAAAGGTGGCATATGTTTTGAAATTCAATCAATTTGGAGATTGGGATCAAATGAATAAGACAGGTCGATGCCTTCACAATATTCAATTTTGTGCAATAAAACATTCTGAGCTAAGAAGAGGAAGGTAAACTCAACTCTTCTTCACACAAATCATAGACATTGTGTTATTTCAATTTGTCTTTGCTCACCTATAATTTGTTCATACTTTTGTTCCGCTGTAGATGATAACAGCTGTGATCGAAACATGTATGTTTTTGCAATTGAATAATTAAATATATTTCTCTTTTTTGTGTGGAGAAGACTTTGAGTTTACCTTCCTGGTGAATGAGTGGTTTTTGTTATGATTTACATATAAATAACACTTTCTGAATGAATATGTGACGTTCTTTTTAATGATCTTTTAATTGAAATATCTGTGACAACTTTGTAATACTTTATTACCCAACGGTTAAAAATAATTTACAGGGTTAACCGAGTATGTTGAAAAAGTGATATAGATCCTTATAATTACTAAGTTAGAATTTGAGAAAATGAATATCAAAATTATAACATAATAAAATTTAAAAAAAAACAGAAAGTTTAAAATCCTCCATGAAATACTGAGATGCAGTATCATCAATATATTCTAGGGAATCAAAATTGATATCACACAAATTTGGTATTAAATTGAAATATTGCAAATGTTACAGATGATTTAAGGTACAAAGTGGTTCTGACCAGTCGGCTGTAAAAAGTTTCAGGATATATATGAGATTTGAAGTAAATAAACTTTAGGAAACGAAGTTGAACTTTTTCAATTAATGTATTATAGCAATTGTAGAATGAGAACCATAGAACAGAGCCATATCATATTCTAATATATCAACCACTTAAGGCATGAAGCATATATTACCCAGTATGCAGATAACACCGCCCCAATTGCACACGATCAAACGCTAGACAAAGTTTATAACAATTCGGAACATCTTGCAACAATAACAAATAACTGGTTCAATAAATGGAGGCTCCAACCAAACACGTCTCAGTTCATCATATTTAATCGTCGAAATTCCGCAACTTCTCTAACGTTTTGCAACATAGAGTAGAGAGGAGTACTTTATTTGACCATTTTACATACAGTTAGTTGTACATTTATGGCAAGTTACAAATACAGAAATCGTTTATCAGAGATAAAAATTTATCTACTATGAAATATAAGTAAAGAATATAAGTTTAAATAAAATCATAAATGTAAAATCTTTTGAATATGTCGCTAAAATCAAAATGTTGGTAAGTTGATTTGATGAGGCCTTTCGTAAGTTAAAGATCTCGCCACTTCAATATATTCCTCTATATTATAGAAACAGTGTTGGAGGAGAAAGCTTTTGATAATAAATTTAAATTTAGTGAGGTTGAGTGACTTCACAGATGAATGAAGATTATAAAGATTTAAGTTCAGTGAATTTCTTTGACTGATAGCTTATGTCTAGGCAGGTTCAATACACTTGCGGACCTCGTTTCATATGCATGATTGTCAACATGTCATTCAAATGGATCTCCAGTAACACTTTATAGACATAAGAGTGTCTGAAGTGGCATAATGCTGAGTTGAATACAAATATTACGACAATGATTTTTGTAACTTGCTTTAGCTAGAATTCTTATGGCCTTTTTCTGGCACCTAAACAAACTTATTGAGTTACTTGAATGACACCAAATGAGAATACTATAAGAAATAAGTGAGTGAAATAATCCGTAGTAGGCTCTTTTCAGTGTCAAGGTGACCACATCATTCAGTCGCCTCAAAACGAACAAAACAGTAGAAAGTTTGCTGCTTTGATATGATCAGACCAGCTCAATCTATGATCAATAGTAAAAACTCAACACTTTTAGATTGGGGAATATTGCGATTGGAAGATACGATTATATTTTGAGTTTTGTCTTTATTCAAGGTGAGTTTGTTAGCAGCAAACCAATTGTGAGCTAATGTTTTGCTATCTTCCATCATTAGTTGTAAGCTAGTTAAGTCTTTACTAGAGCACATTAAAGTTGTATTGTGCGCAAACAAGATACAACATGCTGGTTTCATGAGACTACATAGGTCATTGCTGTAGATCAAGAACAATAGTGGACCTAAAACGGATCCCTGAGGAACACCATTGTGAACAAGCTTGAGAGCTGTGCCTCAGACACTGTAGTAGCTCATTTTATCAATCAAAATACTATGCGATACACAATCAAATCCCTTAGTCAGGTCACATAATGTCAAAGAAGAGTGTTTTACCTGATCGACTATGTTCGACACTAGTTTTAAAGCCGCTTCGAAAACCATACTGTGAATTGTTGAGGTAGAACCGTTTTTCAAAATAGGAATAAAAACGATTTTTCAAAATTATCTCAATTACTTTGCCAAATATAGATATTATGCTAATTGGGCGATAATTATCTGGTGAAGATCTAGAACCTGTTTTAATAAGGGTATCACTTTCGAAATTTTAAAAACGTCTGGAAATATTTCAATTAAAAAGATTTCGTTTATTAGTAATGTTAGTGGAGCTGCGATTATATCAGCCACCGATTCAATCATTTGGCTATTTAGGTCGTGTGTATCGCGACAGTTGCTGTTTTTAAGAGACTTTATCGTATCAACTACTTCTTGAGGACAGACAGGGTCCAGAAAAAAAAAATTCGCATGGCGAGAGAAAGTTTTTGTAGTTATTTATTTCATTGATCGGGAGATCGTGAAGAGCTTTAATAGTATTATTAGCTATACTGCAGAAAAAGTCATTCAAGCATTGTGCTGAAAGTTCTACTGGTTTAATTGCATTAATAGGGTTCCTTTCACTGTTTATTATATTCCAGCAAGCTCTTGAAATATTAGTGGAACTCAATATACATTCTTCATTTACTTCTTTTTTCCGTTTTTTTTTTTTAACTAGACCTTATGATCTTTCTTCATTGCCCTGAATGCAGTCTTATAGTATGGATTTCGTGACATATCTGCTGCGAATTTTGCTGCCTTGAGATTATTTCTCATGTCCTTAAGTGTATCATCAAACCATGGTAGTTTCAGGTTATTTTTTTAAATTTCATGTTTCTTTAGAGGAAATGATAGTTTGATTGAATTTAAAAAAATATTTTTATAAGGTTTTCTGAGAACCGTGTGTCACACCAAGTTGGCCGATATCCAGATAACTAAAATTTACCCCGAGTAGATGATTTCTGAAATCTGTTAGTCCTTTTTTTGTAACACAAAATCTTTCATGCAAAATCGACAGTTAATTACCTACCTAGGTGTTACGCTTGATTCCAGACTATATTTCAACAGCCACGTCAATAACAAAAAAAAAGAAAGTGATCGCAAGAGCAAGAAAGTGATCGCAAGTGTCAAACAAGTTTGACAAACCTGGGAGCAGGTGCAAACATATCAACAGTAAGCCGAATATATAAACTAATCTGTCGTCTACTTATTGAATACTCGCACCAACTGTTTCTCAATATCAAACAAAGGGCCTTGAAAACAATTAAAGTATCTGAAACCGGCTATAAGGAAAATAACAAAATCTAGACATCCCAATACAACCCTCCAAACTCTCTGCTGTACCAAGGTATTATCCCTATTGAGGAAAGACTAACGTCACTTACTTAGAAGTTAGCCAGAAAAGACGACAATGCAGAAATCATTAGAAAGTATGCCGTGACAAGAAACCTCCATGCAAGAGTACGACATCGATATCCAACAGAAACACTGTTTATCACAAATTTAACAATGAAATTGTTTTGTTTGTTCATTTTTATATCCATATAAGTTTTTTTATATTGTAAAATAAGCTATGTTATTTCAAAGCAATTTGACTTCGGTCAATAGCCAGTTGAGCAAAATTTAATTTTGTTCAATAAATTACAATTTACTTAGGATATAAAGGCAACATTTTCCACTTTGTTTCCAACTTCCTATCCAGTAGACTCTTTCAAGTGAGAGCCAACGGAGTATTATCCAGTTGCAGAACTCAAGAAAATGGAATTCCTCAAGGCTCAGTACTGAGCCCAACACTATTCAACATAGCAATCAACGATATCGCAGACTGCATTGAAATGCCCATACAAGTTCGACTGTTTGCAGACGACTTGATCCTCTTTGTGAAAGGAAAAAATCCTGAAACCTTGACACGATTACTGCAGAAGGCTTTGAACAACCTTCAAAAGTGGTCCAACGAGACAGGATTCACGTTATGCAACGAGAAAACTAAATGCATACTTTTCTCGAAGAAAAAAGTCCATCCTTAATCAGATCAAAAATCGACTATGGATCAATATAATTTACACCTCAGTATCGGCACATCTCCTGAAGTCACTTGACAGCATCTATAACGCAGCCCTATCCAAAGTCTTCTTGCAAAAACTGGAGAGTCTTCGCTAACAACAAGAACTAAGATATCAAGTTTGTCATATGCTGTACATATTTCGTACCTCAAAGAAACCTCCTTCCATGCCAATAAAATCATGAACCACAACAAATCCAAATTATCCTTCCTAGAAAGAATCAAACAGTACCTGCAAGAAATCGACCTTCCCACTAACCGCCTATCTACACAAACATCATAACTCCACCGCCGTGGATGAGCCAATCCATTTCGATAAATACTGACCTCACAACATACGACAAAG